TAGTTGAATTTATGAGTCGATCTAAGCCAAACCACCATTGAAAACCTGGAAGCACTGGACGGCCGTTTCGTCCTATTGAGGGACTCCTCAACGGTGCTCATTCAGGACCTTCAGTTTCGCACACAAACGCTTAACCTCCAAACCACTCAGCCGGCATCCAACGGTGTTAATGTATAACTTTGATTGATCAATGAATGGTTGCGTAACTATTCATCTGTTATCTGAGTTAGATACTTGTCTTTATCCAACACGGATTGGACTCGAATGGTTACAGCTTCTCACTAGCACTCGAGGAAATCCATTTTGAGGCCAGTCGCTAGTGAGCACATGATGATTATTATTAGAATTTGTAGAGATTGTAATAATTTTTTTTATATAATTCAATCCCATTTTCTAATAATTTGATGATATCAGCTACCAACTCTATCTCACTTAATTAAGGCAGTAATGTTATTTAACAAATTTCCACAAACTAGACTTGATTAAACATCTGATAAATTTAGTAACCCTGTATTTACTTCTATCTTATTTGTTTTATTGTAGTACATTTCTTCATAATCACATATATATACAGGAATTTATACAATTGATACGTTTATAATCAATTACTTGTATTATTTATGCGTCAATATATAATCTGCTTCATCGAACTTATTGACCTTATGATTAATTTATCTGTTCATAAATGCGTAAGTTCAGTTAATCTATTCTCTTACGTATAATATATGAGTGAAGAAAAAAAAGAAGAACATATTACGAGAGAGACAAAGAAAAAAAAAGAAAAATAACATGAATGGAATAAATGAAGAAAAAGAAGCCAAAATGCAATCTGCTAAAAACATTACGTAACACATTTTCACTTGATTAATTAATTGAATACCTGATTCATTTCATTTATTTCTATCTAGTTTATTAACTATTCTTGTAACGAATTACTTATTATTATTAGGAATAAGAATAGATAAGGATAATAAAATTAAAGGGAATGAATTGAATTCTAAATAAGAAACAGGTTGATCATGGTTGAATGATGGATAAATTGAATGAACACAAAAAACACATGTATATAAATATCAATAAAGTTAATTAAAATGTAACTGAGCATATTAACAATGATGAATAAAATGATTTACTCATTATATCATTCTTTAAAACAAATATACTTTTAGAAATTTCACTGATTGAAATCATGAGTCAATTGAAGCTAGGCCACTATGGAAAACCTGGAAGCACTGGATGGCCGTCTCGTTCTAGCATAGGACTCCTCAGCAGTGCTCATCCACGATCCCGCACCCCAGGACCTATCAGTCTCACGTCAGGCGCTTAACCAACTAAACCACTGAGCTGGCCGACATCCAATGGTGTTAATGTCTAACTTCAACCAATACACGAAGTTGCGCCACCGTACACCATTGTCTCCAGTGAGTTGATATCTCACAACAGACCCGACTGAATCCCACTGGTAACGGCTTCTCACTAGAACTCCAGGAGTATCTCCTGAAGTCAGTCACTAGTGAGCAGATGATTATTATCGCAATGGGTTTTGTGGAGATTTTTTAGAAATTTCACTAGTTGAAATATACTTTTATAATAAGAGGTTTTGTGGATATTATAGTAATTTAGTTGTTGAATTCATGAGTAAATTGAAGCTAGACCACCATGGATCACACGAAGTGATCTCGTGGATGCGCACTGTTCAGGATTTCCATACTAGGACGAAACGGTCGTCTAGTGCTTCTAGGTTTTCCATGGTGGTATAGCTTCAACTGACTCGTGATCTCAACTCTTGAAATCAAAATGTACTTCATACTATTCATACTCATCACGTTAACTATAAACTGATTTTTTTTATAAATTCTAACGTTTCTATGTTTCAATGTAAAGATAATAATAAGTGGACAGTACTAGAAATTTAATTATTGAAAAAAGCTATACAATTTTTCCAACTTTTCAATGAATCTTCAATTAGCGTAGTCCTATTCACAAGGAAATTATTTTATTCTTGGATTTATTCAGGTATTCATACATACTTGAATACTATTAGTCATTATTAAATGAAAACATTGGAAGTGAGGTCAAGTACATGTTACTTGTAGAGAAAAACACAAGTACGTATATAATTCACATGAAATTTAAACACGAAACATGTATACTTGAAAAGCAATTCGAAATGTGACACTATATTTACAGATGGAATTAAGATAACTAAGGTAAAACCGATGTTCGTGATAGTTTATAATACAAATATTCCCGGAAAATACAGTGAAAAGGCATGATAGTTCTACAAGATTGAAAAGGATCAATCAACAAACAAACCGAATTCTTTAAATGAAAACAAATAATACAATAAGAATGAATGCTTATCACAATAATTCAACAAATGATTATGATTTATTACACTGTCTAGTTTATTTATTGACAGTTAAATAATTGATCATAAGACAGAGTGAAAAGTTCAGTGACAAGAAGGTTATGGCTAGGATATTATATCAGTGTATCATGACAATAAAGATGTGTTATGCGGTTAAAAAAAGGTGAAACAGTAAATAGGTAATATTCAGTTGTTGTTTATTTTGAGTGACGAATTATTATTTTTTCAATAGCTGATATCTAATATCTTTTTATAAGTACACATAATATAATTTGAATATGTGACCACTGTCACAGAACAATCAATTTTTTTCCATAAATTAAACACAAATGACATAAATTTCCATATATTGCTATTTCGAACTCCCATTATTCGAATGAACTTCCATTATGAATGTACATTAAGTTTAAAAAAAACATAGTAAAAGTGATATCGAGAAATAGTCGTTTTAATGCAAGATAATGTTGCTGTTAGACACTATCACCATTGGATGACAGTTCAGTGGTCTAGTAGGTTAAGCGTTAGTGCGCGAGACCGAAAGCTCTGGCTTCGAATCCCGCGAGCAGGATCGTGGATGCGCACTGCTGAGGAGTCCCACAATAGGACGAAACGGCCGTCCAGTGCTTTCAGGTTTCCAAAGGTGGTCTACCATCAATCGGTTCATGGTCTCAATCAAAAAATATAATATAAAGTTCGTTTCGTCTGGAATTAGTTTCTATCATTATCTAGAAAACCAATGAAAAATAAAAAGGTTCGAACAAATGTTACGTCGTAGTTTAAGTCTATTCAATGGTGCTTACTCACAACTTTATACATGATTGAAAGTAAAGCCTTTGCTTGCCTACGCCTGTTACTCCTCGTGGAGGAGCATAGGCCGCGCGCCAGCACTAAAGCCTTTAAGTTTCATAATAATCGTGATATTTTTAGATTATTGAATGAAAATTCAATGGTTCTGATTTTTATCGTCAGTAAATTTTAGACATTGTCTTAAACAAATTGTCAGAAAACATTAGTAGGTGTTCATTAATTCTAAACTTAGATTTGTAATTAAATGATAATTTTTCCCCAGCTATTTTAATTAGAAATATATTAAATTTCTTCGCTAAGTTTGGGTAGCGGTAGTTCAGTGGTCATGCAGTTCAATTTCTAGCTATCAAATCCCAAGATTGAACCCAACAATCTTAGTCTATTTCAGTTTGATCTTGGATTATGACTTGAAATCATGTACACATATCTGTACCCGATAATAGTGAATGCGTAAACAAATAAATACTAACTTTACATTAGATTATCAGCAAAGTTGGATAGTGGCTAGCAGTGGAATACAGGTCGTATGTTTCGTCCTATTCGGGACTCGTCAAACGCCATTGCATTATCTACTTAGCTAATGAGTCCTGACAGCCACCTGCTTGTGCAATGAAGTGAAGTTATATTCATTTGGTGTTGTTTACTTGTATCTTCCCATTGTTATTTAGGACTGCAGTTGACCAGTCTGTGATTAGCATATGTGCATACTGTGTGTATTGCCTCGATATTGCCTTAATTCACAAGTATTACAAGCAAAGATCAATTATGTTTAGCAGTGGAATTCAGGATGCACGCTCCGTTCTATTTAAGACTTGTCAGTTGGATGTACCTGCATCCTAGAGTTGATGTGCTGAGAATTCGACATTGTACCAAAATATAATATTGATTGAAGTCATTAATAATAATAATAATAATAATAATAATAATAATGTTCACTCCAAGACTCGAATGCTTGTGGATTAAGGCAATACATACAGTATGCATATATACCAGTAATAGACTAGTCAATCGCAGTACTAAACATCATTGAGAAGATTCAAGTAAACAATACGAAATGAATTTACTTTAAAATACTGAAATAGTATAATCAAAAAACGTTTTCATCTTGATCTATTTGTTTGTTTGTTTATTTTTGTTTTACATAAACATTTGAACATGAATAAACCTACTAAATTTTGTTTTGTAGATAACATAACAACTCTATATACATTTCTATTCATATTTATTCCATCTAACTTAATAATCACCATTATCATTAATTATTTCATAACAGAATGTTAAACACAATAATTAAGTTTAATGTTTCAACTTAGTTATACATTTTTAATTGTATTCCATGGAATGTAATTAAAATCACCATTACACGCATTGTCTATTTTAAATTAAAAAACAAAAAAAGAAAAAAGAAGAAAAGAAAAAAAGAGAAAAGAAAATAGAAAAGAACATAACATTTCACTAATTTCTATTACAATCACTTTCATAATTCAAAAAGAATTAAAATAATTATAAGTTACATAAAATTACATGCTAAAACATTTCTTCATTATAAATAATACTATTAACATCATCTTTTCAAATAAGAATCGTATTGTTCAATGTTTAATCACACTATCTAAGCCTAAATCAACATTGAATCTATTGAATTGATATTATTTATAAAATTTTAAATAAGGAAATTATCAACCAGATAAAACTAAGTGTATTCTTTACAATAAGTGTAAACTATAAGAAATTACGGTTACTTTTACTTAGTAACCCTACTGTTAAAACTATAATGACTATTATTATTATTATTATTATCATTATTATTATTATTATTATTATTATTATTATTATTATTATGAGTTCATATAATCTATGTAGATTTATTTCATGTTATTCAATCATTTAAAAACGGTTAAGTAATTACAAAATAAAGTTCCGTCAAAATGAGTTCATTTAATTGTAAATATAAATAGTATCTTAACTTTTTCCACTTATTTTCATTATTACTTATATCACACTGTTCACCTTAATTTGTGTATATTGTTTTTAAATAAACTCTATTATTATTATTATTAATGTCATCCGGTTATTTTTCTTTTTTTTGTTTATAATAAATGTGATAAAACAAAATGTTTTAAACATTTATATGCTACATTGTATGCATTGAATAAACCATTTAAATGATTGCGTGTATTAGATAATAATAGTGTATAGCACTTCCTGTATACTCAACACTACTAACACTTTTCTACTTTGATTGTTGTTGTTGTTCTTCTTCTTCACCTCTTTATTTCAATACCTATAAATAAGAAATGAACAAGAGATTTTTAGTTATAAATTTTTTTGTAAAAGAAAATAGATTTTTATATATTCGAAAAATAATTTATATATTAAAGAGAGAAAATTAATTGAATAAAAGTGATATTATATATATCTCATTAGATTACAATTAAACATTTGAGTAGTATGACTAGCAATGGAATTCCGAACTTATCAGTTGAATGTACCCACTTTTTTGGTGTTGACTTTTGCATTATGACTTGAAACTCTCATTCATCATTTTAACAGCTTTGCATAAATTATGAGAAATGTTATTCAATGACTGATTAGTAGTGTGTATATTGTAAACGAATACATAATTTCTTCCATAGTTACTATATTTCAATTTGTGTAAGTAGAATTATTCTAAATTTAATAATCACCCAGGTTGGATGTTTTTAAGCTTTCGGCCTGAGAGTTATTACCAACTGTCAAAGATTGGACGTCAATTGAAAGCCCTATGTTTATCCTGAGATTAAGGGTTTTTGTTATCCACAAAATAGCTACCTACTAATCCTCTGTGTAAAATTTGTCTATCAACGTGTAGAACTAGATAATTTGCCATCAGTTTTTACTTATTGATAAGTAAGTGGTAACATTTCAAACTTATAAGGTGTCAATCATAGCGAAATACCTCAGAAGTAACATGTTTTACTGTGAAGCTTGACGACACTCTTCCGAATCCTACTACTGAACATTCGTTCACTCAAAATTTCAGCGATACTTTGCTGAAAGTTTATCAACAGGGTTCAGTGTTTCCTACTAGCCATATGTAGACCGTATGAATTAACTACAGGTAGATCTTGAAGAGTAATTTCATATGACAATAAAACATCCTTAACTGGATATGAAATACCAAAGAAATACGGATAAACTCTAGACGTACTGCACTATAACTTGTTACAGGATATTAATCGCTATAAATAGCACACAAATGTTATTGCGTAAGAATTATTACTTGAAACTTAGTCTTCAAAAGTTTCATTGCAAATATAATAAACATAAATTTTGACTACATTTGTAACGGATAGAAATTAAGTTTAAATTTGTTGTGTTAAATGCTCAGCAGTTTACTATGTTTGCAAAGTAGTTGTGGCTGTAAAACATATAACTGAAGATTTGACACTAAATTTGTAACGGCAATTAAAAGGAAATGTAAGATAACCAAGCAAAAAAACACTTATGAACATTGTAACCAATTAGCACTCAGTGTAAATAATCTTATGTACAGACTTATCAAAACGAATAAGGGAATGGCAGGTATGAAAATTTTCTTTCAACGATATCGTTTTCTCGAGCTCCACTGTTGTTTTTATGGCTTGTCTTTTTTTATATGCAGTAGTCCATAGTAAAATAGAAATTTTACAAAATTATCAAATTTGATCGTACAAATCAAGCACTTGGTGAAAGAATATTCGAGCACTACCTTACATGAATATCTGAAGTGGGAGGGCAATCGATCGAAAACTCAATTCTCGAACATGTGATCAACTCGGTTCACATGCCACCATAGGAATCATCATCTACAAAGTTAATAGAAATCGCTCAAAAAAGGTTTAGACGAGGAATTTATGCATAATCAAAGCTGTAGCAATCCACTGTCTCAAACATTACTTCTGTACAAAAGAATCATGCTCAATACTTTATTCTTCCATAATCTTAGAATCCTTCTTAACTTGACAAATCTTATACTAGTTATTATCCTATTCTTCACCCTCTTCGTAAAGTAGGTAGTTGTTTTCTGCATTTATTGTATAAATTTTTATTTCTTATTCCCTCTGAAACTATCATAAAACCTAATTTTTTTAACCATTTTTATCACCTTGCTAAATTACGCAACACCTGTCTTATTCAATACTTCAAACTTTCGATCACTTTAACTGTATTGAAATAACATTCTGTTCAATTTATAGACTATTATACTCAACTCTTAATATCGTTTGACAGTTTTTTATTAATTTATTAAATGGTTCAACACTTCATTTTCATAGACTTTTACACTAGAAACTTGAATTAATTTGACTATCTTTGATAATCTTTCAAAAGTCTACTATTTTACTATAGAATAATATATTTAGAAAATTACCTATAAACACAATTGTACAGCTTAAGGAAAGGACATCATTGAAGAGAAAATTTCTTATACAGAAACGTCTTTATTCTTATGAATTCAACAGATCGGTTATGAAGAATATATAGTATGGCAAAAATGTACATTATTTTTAGTATTTTATGCAAAAGACATGCAGTTTTCGGTAAATATACAACTTTCTAAGGTAATATTCGGTAACTGTAAGTGCGGTGTATGCTACTTATGTTGACAGATATAAGTAGTATGTAACACTAATCAGAAGTGGAATGCCTATAGCAGAAGACTGAATTGAAAAGAACAGGAATGTAAACAGAGAGCAATTAGTATAACAATAGAATTGAAAGAATTATCAAGCATGTTGAGGACAACTGAAAGAAGATATGGAAATAATATATTTAATGTGTGGTTTTCATATATATTATGAAAGCACTCTGTAGTTTGACATTAAACAATGAATTAGTTTCTCTTACATGAGTTCTTGTTCACATCATTAGTATCATTGACCAAAATTTAAGCAAACAGGAGTAACAATTTCTAGCATTTGTTACAAAATGGATAACATTTTCTCCGTCTACCTAACTGATAGTTCTAGCCGCTAATGTTAGTTTGCTCTAAAGTATTACAACTTACTAATCAAGTAAACGTCCAACCTCTTAGCTTTGAAGTACATTATTTATGTGAATGCTAGTATTAATAGAAAATTACTCCATTCAATATTGAGATGATATTTGAAACTGCAGGTCACTGGTTAAATGATAAAAATTTTAACTTATTAAGCCACCTCTCTACATAACATGGAGATAGTTTAAATAAGTTTGAAGATAATTCTTATCAAAGTTTTATCATCTATCAAAGACTACATAAATAATGTACTAAACACCTCTTCCATATTACAATTTAAAAACGATCGAAGCCTTGCAATTGTAAATATCACTATCAAACAGTTTAAGACTACATTGTTCCGAGACTTGAAATTTTACACATAACACATATTAATTCAAAAAACAAATCGAAATAAGTGACACTTAGTTTCAATCAGTGCGTAACACAAATGAATTTAATAAACTATGTAGGCGGCTTTTTCTCTATGATTAGAGTCTAAATATAATTGGCTTAAATGATAAGGTACAAGAAGATTCATTCCTAGATATCTACAAGTACGCTTTTATTCAGAAAACCATCAATTTCGGTATAATTTAAAGTCTAGTTGTGAAGGATACTTACCAGTGGTTGATAAAATATAGAAGAAACACGCTTTACTATTCAGCTAATACTTACATGTGATAGAATTTATCTCCATGTCTAATCCATTATATGTCTATTTGAATGACTATAATAAACTTTTACAAATAAGAAAAAACGAGTAGTTTGCTTCGGAACTATTTTTCTTCTTTTAATCAGTGGGGAGACACTCTTACTCATTATTTCTTTCTCTTTCCAATATATTGTTACGCCTAACTAATAAAACAATGCTTCTTCGCTCATGTGTAATTAATTACAATCTTCTGTATTATCTATAGGGTTATTAGTCAAGATTATGAAATCACCCTACTACTACTACTACTACTACTACTACTACTACTACTAATAATAATAATAATAATAATAATAATAATAATAATAATAATTTGAAAATAAAATTACTATTTAATATGATTAACCAATCTGTGTCAAGAAGAGTGGACAAAATAAAATAATTTCTCCTCACTTCATTCATTAACTTAGCCCTCAGGCTTTGCATACACTTGATGTGAATATATATATATATATATATATATATATATATATATATATATATATATATATATATATGTATACCCATAGACGTGTTAAATGATGAAAGAATCAATTTCAATTTCCTGCTGTTTCTACTTAGTAGGTGAGATTCTCAGATAATATTTGATCTAAAATCACGTTTCAGCCTGAGTAAGAGACTTTATAAGTTGAGAATGGTGAGAATGATGATGGTCATGTTTATGCCGATAATGTTAAGAATAGGAGAGAGAGAAAGAGCTCAGTTTCCTTCTGGCAATATGAAATATAACTGAAAAGAAGGAGGAATACTTCAGTTATTCAATAAATACGTAAATAAACAAATAAATAAATAAATCTTTGTTGAATATAAACAAAAGAAGAGATGATTATACACAAACATGTCATTTTTCTTCTCTCCATTGTAATAGATAAATGGAAATGATGACCAATATTGAATTAATAGTCTATTAGAGTTTTCTGGAAATATTCTTAGGCAGGGAAGTATCATACTGTGTCATTCTATGAAAACCGATCAATAGACTGTCTTCGTTACGCTTTTTGTGACCCACTGTTTGTACATACAGTAAAAAAAAGTTACAATCTTTATCATTTACACATTAATTAGTTATTCTTATCGTTTTATATTGAATATGTTAGCACTTATTTTTAGAACAAATAGCTGATTTCTGCGTTGTATATAGAATATGCATGCACTAAAAGTACGTTTTGACAATAACTGTCATCTCGAAGTGAAAGTCAATGAAAATTACCAGAGAACCACAGAAGACAATAATAATAAACTTAAATTTCTGTTGAAATCTGAATTACTTTGTTCGTTATAGATGGAACACTTTTTGAAAACATTAAACGTCAGTATTCAGTATTGTAATTTAGACAAATTTGGAATAAGATGAGATATTCAATACATACACAAGAAATAATTCGACAACATTGTAAAGATAGTTGTATTTATTCAATATCATTGTTTGATTAAGTAAAATTAAATGAATCTAAGACACTTTTATCATTGGGTTTAATTTATGTTATTGATCAACACCTCTTTAATACAATGAGTTATATAGGATGTGCGACGCCACTAATAAATAAAGAACTAATAAAGCTACCCTTCATTT